GGGGCTCTGCTTGTGGAACCCCCAGGAGTCCAGGTTCTTTCTCCTGTGCCCAGGGCCTCTTCTTGTGACTTTCCTGGCTGTCATTAGTGAAGATCACAAACTTGAAAGGAGGAAACACACTGAAAGAAAGTACAGTGTCTTTTGAGGCTATGGCTCTGTTTCCATCTCCACATCCTCTAAGCAGAGCTTACCAAGCCCAGAAGCACAAGAGGGAAGTCAAGGTAATCTTTGAAGACAGCTCTGGGCCTTCCTGATGAAACATGGGTGCTCTATTCCTAAAAGGAAGATGCCTAAGGCCAAGTCCTCATTCATCCCTCAGGGCCTTGACCATGCAGGGAAGTGAGGGCCATCTGCACTTAATGGGGGGGGGGGCGGCAGAATGTCAGGGAATGTCAGCAGGGAATGACTGCTGTCAGCAGCCAGCTACACCTACAAGACAGCCACAGGTGGGGAGGAGGGGCAGCCAGAGGACCAGACTGTAAAGGCCCTGGATAGGGAACATTCTGCTACGATCAGCTGGGACGTTGGAGACAGATAGAGGACAGCAACTTAGTATGGTAGCCTGTGGAAGGTGAGGTGACAGGCTGGCAAGGGTCTGGCCATGTAGCATTTGGGGGTACTTCTGGCAGCTGTAGGAAGCCATTGGGGAGTTTTCAGATCTTTGTCTTAAATTCTCAGTCCAGCTTCTACTTGGAGGCCACATGGATGTGTAATTGGGCTAAAGACTGATTTCATGGCTACTTCCTCTTAATGAGACTGTCCCAGCCTCCTGCTGACCTTCTTTGCTCCAAGGTATGCAAACTGCCCTGGCTCCTTACCACAATGGATCTTGCTGGAAATGTTGACCTCAGACCCCAACCCTGACCTAGCAACCAGTCTTCCAGCAGATCCCAGAAGTTCTGGTGGGTGGTCCTGTTAGACTCTTTTTTTGAGACTGGGTTTCTCTGTGTATCCTTGGCTGTCCCGGAACTCACATTGTAGACCAGACTGGTCTCTCACAGAGATCTGCCTGCCCCTGCCTCCCGAGTGCTGGGATTAAAGGTGTGTACCCACCACAGCCCGGCTGAGTTAGACTCTTAAGATGGGTCTCTTTCCCCTCTTCATTTTCCTGCCTTCCCCACCACAACATACACTTTACCCAGATATGTTTGCTGCGCCCACACACTGAATCTCCCTCCCTGTTTAAGATATACACACAGTGCCAAGTGGCCTGTCTGGACTGGCCCAGAATTTAGGATTCCTGGAGGATGTCAGGTTCTGTGTGAGTTAGACATTGAAGAGTATTCAATTTATGAGTACCTGTGGAGGTTGGTTTGGTGAGAGATGCTGTGTGCAAATTGGTGTTGTAAGAGAATTAGCATGGTGGTAATAGGCAGGAGATTGCAAATTCTAAACAGGAAGCCCTGCAGTGCAGGATGGATGCTGGCAGGATGTGAACAGTGGCGAGCTGACGTTGATGGACTGTAGGTGGCCTCTTGGATTTTCGTATTACCCATCACATTTCAAATCTTCTATCACACATGTCTGTTATTTTTGCAGCCCAGATTAAAAAATAGGGTCACCTTGATAGGCTCATTATGAGATGGGTCCATTATGGGAACATGACACTGAGGACACTGGATGTCATGTTTCTTGTTTGTTCTTTAAGATTCCATTTGTAGGCCAGATAGATGAGTCTTACCTGCCACCAAATCTGAGGACCTGAGTTTGATATCTGGGACACGCCAACTCGTGCAAATTTTCCTCTGACCTCCCCATGCACACTGTGGCTCATGTGCACCCACACAGATGACCAGACAGACTCACACAAAACGCGTGAAATGCAGTTTAAAAGATTCTGTTTGGTACTCTCTTCTCCACTGAAGATCTCTCCACCTTGGCATCATTAGTACATATTGCGGGCCAGGTAGTGAATGTCAGATGCTACAGGCTAAGTGTCGCAGATGGGCAAAGGGTATCAAGTCTGAGTAGCCAGTCTGGGTAGTACTTTTTTATTAATTTCTTATGTATTTGTGTATGGGGGACCATATGTATGTTCCATGATGCACATGTGGAGACCAAAGGGAAACTTTGTGTCTCACTTTTCTCTTTCCGCCTTTACGAAGATCCTGGAGATTGAACTTAAGTCATCAGGCTTGCATGGCAAGCTCTTTACACCTTGAGCCAACTTGCCAGTCCTTGGTGGCACTTTTGAGAGAAACACATGGTTTGGGGAGGTAACTGTTTCTGGAGGGAATAGGGCAGGTCTATTTAGGTTTCCTGATGTCACCACTTGTATCCAGATTTAGACAGACTTGGGGCAAACAGTCCTGATAGACCTGGAGGTGGCATTTTCTGTTACAAGCTGGAATTGATCCTCCTGAAGCACACAGCAATGGATTGACTGCTCTGATTTCCTGTTTGGGTCTCTAGAGGTTCCTGGGATGACCCCAGGCCAGCAGAAATGGTGTCAAACTAGGCCTTACCCTTATAGATAGTGGGTTCAAAACAGATGTTGCTGGCATCTTGCCTAGCTGTAGAGCCTGCTTTTGTGGTCCCTTAGAGCCTCCAGTTTCTTTGATGTGCCCCTATAGGCGACTGGTGCTGTTCTGCATACAGCCACAAGAGCCAGCCTTGGTTCCTATGATACAATTCTGCACACATGGGGACCTTGTAGTCTGCATTCACAGGCATACCACGTGTTTGTATGGCTCACAAAAGTGAATCAGAGGAAAGTTTTTACACACAAATGTTGCAAATTTGAAACCACAGAATTCTAGGAGGCAAACCTGTGACATGCTATTTTATTTTGGGGAGTTCCCATGGATGATGCTCCAGCCTTTTTCAAAGCCTTTTCTTCCAGAGAAAACTTGTCTCAAAAGTAGAGTTTCAAATGGAATTTGAATGTAGAATCTCAGGTAGGGAATCTGTTTCAGGAACGGAGTAAGGGCTAGTAGTTACCATTCCTAGAAGCCCTGAAAGCCGGGCATATGATGAGTCAGTAAAGGAGGAGGGGTGTGACCGCAGGCCCTGCCCAAAGCCAGCCAGTTCCTGAAGAATTGGGGGCTGAGGAGGCCCACAGTTCTCACTGCCTCACATGCTTTTTTTTCAGATCATCAGAAAAGCCCTCACTGAAGAAAAGCGTGTCTCGACAAAAACTTCCGCTGCAGATCTTGTGACAGAGACAGATCACCGTGTAGAAGACTTAATCATTTCTGAGTTGCGAAAGCGGTTTCCTTCACACAGGTGAGTGGCCTCTTCAGCTGAGAGGCACTGCTACCTATCGCTGAGGGGCAGATGGGAAACTCCAAGTTGCCAAGTCCAAGCCCTGGTCCCTCAATTTTTAGGCAAGAAAACTGATTGCTTCTGTTCTCTTTTCTGTTATCCTGTCAACCATCCAGTCCATATGTCTCCTTAGGAATATGAAAGAACCTCCACTTTTTAAAACATGTATTAAAAATCATTTTATTAGACTATTCTATAGGTTTCTTTTCCAGGAATACTTAACATGTGCAGTCAGTAAATATGAGATTTTTATTTTCATGATAAGAACTAGTCATTTACTTTACATTGTACTTATCCATTGACTTTAAAATATAGTTCCTTTCCCAGACATGACAACTTTTTGGGTTTTGTTTTTTGTTTGTTTGTTTGTTTGTTTGTTTTAGTTTTTCATTCAGATGTATATAACAATGGGTTTCATTATAACATTTTCATACATGTATGTAATATATTTTGATCATATTTACTCCTCATTACCCTCTCTTGTTCCCTTCCAACTTCTGGTGCTTCTGTTTCCAGCTAGTGTCCTGGTCCTTCTCATTCCATGTCTGTCTGTCTATCCATCCCCCCTTCCCTCTCTCTGAACCAATGAGTTTTACAAGAGTTATTACAGAGTGGGGGGCTGTTTGCCAAAGCCTGGGCATCTCTACATCATTGAAGAAAATACCCAATCATGTGCAGGTGATTATAGCTACTAAGAGTTCAAGAGGTTTACAGCCAGGTCATACCTAGATGATGACATGGCACAACACTCCACCCCTTCCTCTGTGTTCCCCAAGCCTTGGAGGGGGTGATGAACCTCATTTAGGGCTAAGTATTCAACAGCCATGTATTCTCAGCACTTAGACCAGTTGTAAGTCTCTGCAGTAACTGTCTCCACTATAGAAAGAGTTTCTCTGCTCAGAGTTAACAGCAAGCAGCACTGATCTGTGGACTTAAAGGGAAATTTGAAAAGGCACTTTGACAAGCATATCATGTCCATTTAGCAAAACAATAGTAACTTCTCTACTAGGATCTGTGATGTCACCAGCCACAGACTTTCCCTGATACTGTATACAGGATTCCCTTCTGTCCCATGGAATGGGCCACAAGCCCAATCGGAAAGTGGGCACATTTTGTCTGGCAGGTAGCTAATACACACACAGTGTGTATTAGAATAAGATCATTGGTGTCATTTCTCCCCTCCGAGGCCTTCGAGTACTATGAAGACTAGTTAAGGGAGGCAGCTTCCAGCTTAGTTCCAGTTTGTTTTCCCTTGAGTTCTTCTAACCATGTGTTTTCTTCAGCCTTAGGGACTTGCCATCTAGTTCTAGTTGACAACCAGCAGCAATACAGTAGCCTATATTGTTTGGGGGCTTCAGGGACCTCCCTGGCCAACACCTTTGTAAGGAGGTAGCCCACCCAGGTGCTGGGTTTTTCATTTAGTAAACTTATAGCTTTAGGGAAACTTTATCTACTCCCAGAAGACATCTGTTCAAACTTAAATTTTCTTTGAGTTCTTTAAAACTTTGTGTGTGTGCATATATTTGTGTTGGAGGTCCTACTTTAAACAACACATGCTCAGAAATACCCCCTGCCTCTGACTCCAGAGGGCACTATAAAAGTATGTCCTACTTCAGGCCGGGCGTTGGTGGCACACGCCTTTAGTCCCAACGCTCAGGAGGCAGAGGCAGGTGGATCTCTGTGAGTTCGAGACCAGCCTGGTCTACAAGAGCTAGTTCCAGGACAGGCTCCAAAGCCACAGAGAAACCTGTCTCGGAAAAACCAAAAAAAAACTACTTCTGAAACTCAAAATGACAGTAGTGCCGCCCTGTCCACCCTGGGATGTATCTTAAGAGCACAGGGTAAAACATCACCTGTGTAGGATTCTGTCCACTGCCAGTATTCAGTAACACAGACACGCCTTGCTGGGGACAATGTCCATAGTGAGACACAGGCCTTCACAAGGATGCCCCTTTCCTCCAAAGGCCAGAGTTCTTGGTCTTCTTGGGCCATCTGTAGAGGACTGACTATAAGCCATTCATCTTTTCCTTAGGATAGCTAAAGTATTTACTGAGCACTGTGCATGTAGCTCTAGAAGAACCATGGCTGGCTCTAGAGTAAGGACTATAGAGCAGCCCTCCCTTCCTGGCTCCTGGTTTCTGCAGGACAGATCTTGAAGACCAGGGCCTTGGATTCCAGGCCTCCAGGCCTCAGTTTCCTTCCGAGAGTGATATCTCATAAAGATGCTGAACTTCTAAAACTGGGATGGTGGTTCCTGAAGTTCTGGGTGTTGATTGTTCTACTCTGGCCCTGTATCTGTGTGGCTATGGGTGACAAAAATACATATGGTAGTCTCCTCAGAGTATGTTTGGGATGTGATAGGCATCACCTCTTTTTTTCCTGTGGATAAATGCATGAATTAAAGAACAAGTTTTTGTTGAAATACATACATTCTTTTACTGCTTTTCAGTGTTCTCTTTGGGGAGGTGCATCAAGTTGAACCACGGCCTGAGCATGCTACACAAGTTTTCAACCACTGAGCTAAGCCCCCAGCCCCCAGTTTTAACTTTTTAAAAGTCTACTTGTAATTCAAGAGCATCGGGAAAAGAACTTATCACACAGCTTGCTTTACTTGCTGAGAAGAAAAAGTGCCTCATCAAACAACCAGCTGCAAAGGAGACATCATGACCACAGCAGCTCCTATAAAAGAAAGCATTTAATTGGGGCTGGCTTACAGTTTCAGAGGTCTAGTCCATTAGCATGGCAGGATGTAAGCAGGCATAGTTAGTGTTGGAGAGGTAGCTGAGAGTTCTACATATAGATCCATAGACAACAGAAGAGACACTGAGCCTAGCTTGAGGACCTTTGAGCCTCTGGAACTGCAAAGCCCACCCCCAGTTACACACTTCTTCCAACAAAGCCACACCTCCTAATCCTTCTAAGTAGTGTCCCTTCCTGATGACTAAGCATTCAATTATATGAAATTCTGGGGACCATTCTCATTCAAACCACCACAGAGTTTATTGGATCCAGAAGCTTTCTGGTGGAGTCCATAGGATCATTTCTGTGTAGACTCATATCTACAAATACTTACCTTGATTTCTTCTATCCTGTTTTTAACCTTTATATCTTTCCCTTGTCTTATTGTTCAACCTATGACTCTGCACACTTCATTGAGTAAGAATGGACAAAGTGGTGGCTCCTTCTTTGTCTTGTTCCAGGTTTTAGAAGAAAATCTCAGTTTTCAGTATTGAATGTAACTGCCTATTGTTTTATCATATATACTTTTTTTTTTGTATGTATGTGTTGTCTAGTCCTAGTTCTTCAGGACTTATGGTGAAGTCATGGTAAAAGTGAGCTTTGTCAAATGCCTTTTTTGCATCTATCAAAATGGTTTCCATCCTTAAGTCTGTCTGTAGGATGAATTGCACGTCTATCCTGAAATCTGGTTATATGGAGTATTACATGACTTGCAGTGTTGAACCAACTTGGTATCTTTAGGAAGAAAGCAGCTTGGTTGTGATGTAGGATCTTCTTAATGTGGTTCTGAATCATTTGCAAGTACTTTATTGTGAATTTTTGCATCTTGTAGTCTTGTTTTGTTTGTTCAGTCTTTATCCAGTTTGGGTATTATTTAGATAATGCTGTATTTAATTATTTAGTCAGTACTGACTTGAATGAATTTGGTGGTGTCCTCTCTCTGCTCTGTAGAACAGTTGAGAAGTGATGACTTCCTTAAAAGTTTAATAGGATTCAGTAGTGGATCCATCTGATCCTGGGCTTTTATTTGTGGAAGGACTTTTAAGTTACTGCCTCCATCTCATAGCTTGTTACAGCCCGAGTACATTGTTTGTATCTTCTGGTTTAAATTTCGGTAGGTTTATATTTAGAAAATTTGTACATTTCTTTTAGATCTAAATGGGAGTATTCTGGAGTCTGTTAAAAAAAAAAAAACACTTTTTCATCTCTGATTTTAGTAATTTGCATTTCCTCTGTATGTTTGGACAGAGACCTGTCAGTTTGTTAATCTCTTAAGAGAACTGTCTGTTTGATGCTGTGTTTTGGTCTCTTCCTCTCTCATTCATTGTGGTGACATGTCCCTGACACAAGCCCTGTGGTCATCCCTATCCTCTTGAGTGATGAATCCAAGATAGTGAGGTTCTCCAGCTGGGGAAGAGGATGGCGGCTTGAGCAGCTGCTCAATGTCCCTACTGCCTTCTGCCCCCTTGAGGTCACTGTAATCTGGTGCGCTGTGTGTACCCAGCACATAGCAATATCTGCTGAATACATAAGTCAATCAGAACATAAAGCAGGGTCCTTGACATAGGAAAAGCCCATACCTGCCAGGAGGGAAGGGTAGAGTCATCGGTGGCAAAGGGAAATGTAGGTGACAGTTATTCTTCCATGGCCTGGGTTCTGCTCTGCATGCCAGCATGACCTCTTGGGCCTCTGCTGCTGAAATGGGAGCCAAGTTTTGCTTGCCTCTGCACTCTTTCAGGTGTTCTGCACTCCTGTATCTCTGCCTCCGTTTCCTTTGTGTGTCCCCAAAACTGCCACAGTGAAAGTCATTCTGGTTTGGGGGTGGGGGTTGTACTGGGGCTGGAACCCTGAGCCTTGTACCTGCTACACACACTCTTCTGCTGAATGTTGGACATTGACTCAGGCTGAGCCCCCTGCCCCAGCAGGTTCATTGCAGAAGAGGCCACAGCCTCCGGGGCCAAGTGTGTGCTCACCCACAGCCCAACCTGGATC